TAATCATCATATCTTTTGGGCTTTTAAAAGAAGAAATTGATGCTGACCATCCTGTACTGCTTTATCACACTGACATAAGGGACATATGCTAAGCAGAGTTTTTTGAAATGTGTGAGGAAATTATTCAGTTTCTTACTAACCAAAATTGTAATTTGGTTAAAGACTTTAAAAGAGGTGCAATATTTTGACAAGCCTATTTAGCAGATATGTTCACTCACCTGGATGAATTAAATATTTCAGTGCAAGGATGTGGTAAGAACATAGTAACCACATAGCTACTGCAATCAATGTAGTAAATTATATGTGAGGACTGGTGCTTAATCATCATATCCTTTGGGCTTTTTGAAGAAGAAATTGATGCTGACCATCCTGTACTGCTTTATCACACTGACATAAGGGACATATGCTAAGCAGAATTTTTGAAATGTGTGAGGAAATTATTTAGTTTCTTACTAACCAAAATTGTAATTTAGTTAAAGGCTTTAAAAGAGCTGTAATATTTTGACAGGGCTATTTAGCAGATATGTTCACACACCTGGATGAATTAAATACAGTATTTCAATGCAAGGATGTGGTAAGAACATAGTAATATCTACTTAAAAATTATCTGCTTTTATTGAAAAACTAAAAATTTGGATACATCAAGTTGGAAATTGTAATTTTGCAAACTTTTGCAACCAATTGTTGCCTCCAAAAACTTTGCAAGTAGACAGAGAGCTGACAGAGTGTAATGGCAGCGAATGGGTAAAGGTAAAGGCAAAGGTTTCCTTTGACAATTTTTGTCCAGTCGTGTTCGACTCTAGGGGGTGGTGCTCATCCCCGTTTCCAAGCCACAGAGCCAGCGTTTTGTCCAAAGACAATCTTCCGTGGTCACATGGCCAGTGCGACTTAGACACGGAACGCTGTTACCTTCCCACCGAGGTGGTCCCTATTTATCTACTTGCATTTGCATGCTTTCGAACCGCTAAGTTGGCGGGAGCTGGGACAAGCGGCGGGAGCTCACTCCGTTGCGTGGATTCGATCTTACGACTGCTTGGTCTTCTGACCCTGCAGCACAGGCTTCTGCGGTTTAGCCCGCAGCAGTGAATGGGTGCTTTTGCTCAAACAGGCCCCCTGCTAAGAATTTCCTCAGTCACTCAGTCTCCAGGCCTATTCAGGCTTTATACCTCAAGCAGAGTACGTGGTCCTTTTTTCTCCCTGAAACCTCATCATTCATCAATCATCCATTCACTCCTCTTCAATCATCCATTCACTCCTCTTCTAAGAGACCACCCGTGAAGACTGTTCAGCAGCTTCACCAATGAGAACTCCCTATATTTGAGATCAGAGCTGCATGTCAAAGAACTGGAATAATATCAATATATATTCACAGGACAGTCCCATCAGCCTTATGCCACCACAGCCCATGTTAAGATAATGGGAAATGCATTCCATCACCTGGAATGCTTCTAGGCTTCCTCCCTCTTGTTAAGGAGTAATGAAACAAAGTATGTGCAATGCTTGGAGGGTAACAAAGTCTTACATAAGTGCTAGCCATTGCCATTAATCACAACCTCCTCATGATAGAAACAGGGTGACCTGGAGATGACTCTGTTTCTTTTTCAGGACAAGGAACACACTCCAGGACTGGAACTTCACAAAAGCCTGCTTTCTGGAGGACAGCTCCTAGGATCTCTCAATCACGATGCCCACTGGAATCACTGGCTTAGAGTTTACTAAGGGGTCTGTGCTCCAGAAAAGAAACACTTCTGGGCTATACCCAGGAACCCTGAAAGCTACTTCCACTGGCCCTTGACTTAGACCAAGCTCCTTCTCCTGCTATGGACTTTGATGCTCTTGCTAAAGAGAACATTCTGATGCTGTGTTAAAGCAGCGCACTTAGGAGCACATAACTGATTTCCTCCCCACAAGCATAGAGTGAGACAGTGCAAGATGGAGGATGACCGGGAAGGGGCTTTGGGCCCTGGCAGAGAGAGCACTGGCCTGAAGGAATGGAAGGATCACAGTCGGGAAAATGGCTTCTTCACCTGGCCTGGGGAGGAAGAGCAGCCTGTCTTGGCTGGGAGACCAGATTCAGAAGAGAAGGCTAACCCCCTGGCTGTCCAAAGTCTCTTGCAAGGATCTCCTCCTTGGCCGGAAGACTCTGTGGCTGCATCATGGTGCCTGTCCAATCAAAGATGTGCAGGTAGGTCATCTTGACATAGATGCCAGAGGTGGTAGTAAAAACAAGGCGTTACTGCTCTACATGTGAAATGTGCCCATGCTGGTATGATGTGAAGTGGAACTTGGGCTCATCTGGATACTGCTGCATGCATAGGTGTAGCCTCTGTGTCCAGCCTTGTGTGAGTTGTGTAGAACTATGTGGCAGCATGGATTTGTGTACTGGCACAGAAATCGGGGTTTTCCAGAGGATGAATTGATGTATTGGAAGCTAATTGTAACTAATGTGCAACTGTGCATATGTATCTGAGCGTGCATGCATTAACACCTGCACATGTTTGTTCCTAATGTGTAATGAGAGCCTGGACCCTTGAGTGAATTGAGCGAGGTAGGAAAGGCATGGGTAAGATGGTGAACTCCTCTTATTACAGTACTGCCTTATTTTTATCCTAAACAAGTGACTGAGGTAATCCTGTTAATATACTGCTTTTGTTAAAAAGTTCAATTTCAGATTTTACTTTCCTTACAGATTGTCGTGGTTGCAGCAGTCGCTCATTTAACCCCCACAAAAAACTCAGTATCTGATACAAATATCTTTGCCCTCCATGTGAAACCAACTCCAGCCATATGCCTTTTGATAGCCTGGATACCAGAGAATACGGCAATAAGCGGCGTAGAATTTGAAGCAGTAAGTCCTGGCCAGGACACCCCAAGAGGTGTTGGCTGGAATTATGTATTGCATGCTTCTAAACTCTTTAGGCAGTTTGCAGCCCTTGTTGTGTGAATGTGTAAATTGCATCAAAGGTGGGAGAAAGCAGTTCTGAATTTAATGCAATTGGCACAAGGAAGCAGGACAACTGGGTCCTTCTGCTCCAGGGTGCAGAACAGAGACCATTATCGCTGGTCTTGGGGAATATCCCTGACCTGCCAGATGTCCAATTTTACTGTTATTTCATCATTGTCACCTTTCCACAAATTATTCTGCATAGTGAACTCGCTGAGAACTCTGTCAGCAAGCCCAATAACCCCTCATCTCTTGCCCCAAACAACCGTTTCCAGGGTCTTACTCAGAGGCAAGGGCTGCTCTTCCGGTCCAGGCAACATCCTTGCAAATGATCTCATGTCTAATTTTTGCCTTACCCCCTTTCACAGAGTCTTCAGCAGACTTTTTCATGTAGTTGTGTATTGTGTCCCACCTCTGCCTTCCACGTTTTTGCCCTTGATGGCATCCTACGTCTGCTCTTGAGGGGACATCTGGGCTTGGTCTCACAGCAGGGCTCAGTGTAGTTCCAGCAAGACAGCAGGTGCATTGTGTGCCCTCAAAGAGCTCCAGCAAGTAAGCCAACCCCACATTGCAGCCATCAACATGTTCTGATCCTTCTGCAGCCTCTTTCCGCCAGGAGCGTAAGCCAACCCCACATTGCAGCCATCAACATATCTCAAATGTTCTGACCCTTCTGCGGCCTCTTTCCCCCAGGAGCACAGCATACCTAGTGCAGACAGATTTTGGCCATTCCCCAAAACCCCGTTTCCTTCTATGCTCAGATGAAATCAGGATGCTGTGCAAAGCCCTACACTGTACGTAGGGTAGGTAACAGAAGAGGGAAAAGCCTAGAGGGGCACAGTCAGGCCTTCTCCGCCGAGTGCTTCTGCAGGGCTGTGCGACTTCTGCAGGCCCAGGAGAGCAGAGACATGTTGGCTGTAGTTCTGAGCAAAAGGTTGAAAAGGGATTGGAGCTGACAGGCTTTAGCAGTCGGCCTCTTCTCCCCAGTTTCTTTCTTCTCTCAGTCGAGGAAAGCCCAAGCACATAGAAAGCCAACAGAGCACAGGGGCGGTGAATGTGGTCTTTGGCTCCAATAGGTCCCCATGCCACAATTTACCTCAGTCACTGACTCTCCAGGCCTATTCAGACTTTATACCACACATGGAGTTCACTGTCATTCCTTTTTCCTTCCAAGAAGTGTAATTATTTGGGAGAAAGGTTGAGCAATATAGAACTGCCGGATAGCTCAGTTGTTTAGAGTTTGCAGAGCCAGAGTTTGGGATTAACCCCTATGCCTCCTTGACAGGGGCTGTACCCAGTGATCCCTAGGTCCCTTCAAACTATGCAGTTCTACAATTCTTATAAACCTAGACAATCAACCAGCCATTCACTCCTCTTCTAAGAGACCACTCATGAAGACCTTTCAGCAGCCTCGCCAGTGAGGATTTCCTATATCTGGGGTCTGAGAGCCATGGCAAAGAACTGGAATGTTCACAGGGCAGTCCCATCAGGCCTTAGGCAACCCCAGCCCATGTCGAGGGATGATGGGACATGCATTCCATCAACTGAAAAACTACTGCCCCCTCCCCTCTTCTTAAAGAGTAACAAAACAAGGTATGTGCGATGCTTGGAGGGTAACGAAAGCCTGACATAAATGCCAGACACTGACATTAATCATAACCTCCTCATGAGAGAAACAGGGTTGACCTGGAGATGACTCATAGCTGGTCCTTCATTTCCAGAACACGGAACACGCTCCAGGACCGCAACTTCACAAAAGCCTACTTTCTGGAGGACAGCTCCTAGGATCTCCCAACCAGGATGAATACTGGACTCGCTGGCTGAGAGGTTCAGGGCCCTGTGCTCTAGAAAATGAAGACTTCTAGGCTGTGCCCAGGAGGCCCAAAGGCCACCGCCACGACCCCTTGTTTTGGACCAAGCTCCTTCTCCAGCTATGGCCTTGGGTGCTCTGGTGAAAGAGAAAATGCTGATGCTGTCGAAGAGCATCTTTCCCTTTCCCACTCAAGGGCAACATGACCCATTACCTCCCCACAAGCACAGGCTGAAATCCCGCATGTAATTATTTCTTGTCTTTAATTGAGCATCTCTCTGTGCTGTCCAGAAACTGACATGTAAAAGGCTCTTACTGGCTTTGGTCAGGCCCTATCAATAGGACTGAAACCTATTGTGCATAGAATAGACAGTCACGGGATGAGGAAGATGGAGGATGATTGGGAAGGGGCTTTGGACACTGGCAGAGAGAACCCTGGTTGCAGAGTCACTACAGGAATGGAGGGAATCACAGTCAAGAAAATGGAGTCTCCATGTAGCCTGGTGAGGAAGAGGAGTCTGTTTTGCTTGGGAGGTCACATTCAGGAAAGAGGGCTGACCTATTCGCCGGCTGGTCCAAAGTCTCCTGCAGGGCTTTTCCATGGCCGGGAGTGCGTCATAATGTCTGTCCGATCAACGGTGTGCATTTAGGCCATCTTGACACAGGTTCTGGAGGTGGCAGCAAGGACAAGGCATTACCGCTATACCTTTGGAATGTGCCCAAACTGATGCGATGCCAAGTGGACCCAAGGGACGCAGGCTCATCCGGGCAGTGCTGCATGCATACGTGTAGCCTCTGTGTCCAGACCTATGTGAATTATGTACAACTATGTGGGAGCATGGATTTGCATTCTGGCACAGATGCGTGGGCTTTCTAGAGGGCGAATTGATGCACTGGAAGCCAATGAGAACAAATCAGCAACTGTACATATGTATCTGAGCATGCATGTCCTAACACCAGCACAGGGACCTGTGTGTTCTAAATGTGCAATGAAGGAGGCATGCACACCCAAGTGAATAGAAGCACAGAGACAGAAAAGGCATTTGGGTCAGGTGGTGAACTCCAGGCACTGGTGTCTGATGGTGTTCCAAGAGAACTTGCAAGCCCATGCTTCTTGGCTAGGGAGGTTGGTCTGTGTGCCTGTGTCTGTGTGCCTGTGTCAGTGCACAAGCATGTACATACGCACATGCAGATATGCTGGGACCTACTCTAAGGCAAGGGCACCGTATTTCTTCCCCTTCCCATCATCACCTCCAAGGAAGCAAAAAGGAAAATGGTGGGCTAGCAGCAGAAAGGGGTGGGTCTATTTTGAAAACAAATTCTGTGCATGGGACTTAACCAATCCTCCTGTGCCCTCTTTCCCATAGTCAGGATTTCTATCCTTCAGGGTTCAAAAGAACCTGGGTCATATGTGTGTCCATCTGCTTGAGTGTACATGAGTCTGTGTGTATGTGTGCATGTGAGGGAGCATGGGTCTGTCTGTCTGTCTGTTTGTTCCCCGCCTTAAGACTAGCAGGAGGGCACATTACCAATTTTGGAGCCTGCTGCTGGGACTCCTGTGTCTGAAAAGAAGGGCATCTCCAGTGAGAGCTCTGGGTTCACATCACCGAACAGCACTGGCACGACTTCTGCTTGCGCCTGCTCTGCCCTTGATCTTGGCCTTCCCCTTGATGGGGCCGGAGTTGGCGCGAGGAAGCAGTGTTGGCAGAGGAGGTGTGATAGGTCGGGGCCTCCTGGCCTGGGGCTGTCTGCAGCTTTAAGACCCCTGGCTTGGGTTCTTGGTCTCCCACAGAAACATCTGGAGGGGCTGCTGAAGCCTTGGGCTCATTCAGAAGAGGCTGCTGCTCACTGGGCACGTTTTCAAGGAGATCCGGGCTCCCCCCTGCTGGTACTGCTGCTGGGGTGAGGCTGGCACTTCCACCTTCCTCTGTCTCCTGGTCTTCTGTGGTGGCAGTTTTGTCAAGGAGAGGCTGGGCAGAGGGGTCCTGGCTGGAAGAAGAGAGAGCATTGGAAACAGCTGCTGTGTCTTTCAGCACTGGGCTTGGGGCTCTGTTGGGTGATGGGTGTTGGTCTGGCAGTGTAGGCCTTTCTTCAGCAACAGACTGGGGGATCTGCTTATCCGGAGAGTCTGTGGCTTCCCTGACATGAGAAGCCTGGCTCTGAAGAGGGATTGGCATCTCCACCCCTGGAGGTATCGGGGCCTGGCCTGGGTCTGACCCGTCTACTTCACAAAGACTGGGCGCAGTTGAACTTGACAGGGATGTCTCCCTCTGCTCTGCAGGAAGGCGTCCTGTCTCAGGCAAAGAAGGGCTTTCCCCCTGAGGGGATGTGGGTTCCTGATCCTGCACATCTGTTGGGACTGGATCTTGCACAGAGACCTGAAGTCTCCTCCAGAAGTAAATGTTCACCCTCAGCCACAGAGGACAGGCGCTGCTGGCCTGGACAACAGCTGTCAGCCTCTGGCAAAGAAGGGTGCTGGGTCACTGGAGCTGTGGTCATTTGGTCCTGCAATTCTACTGATATTTCTTCCAGGGACACTCTTCCAGCTTCTTGTGCAGAAGAGGTGGTGACATCCTGAACACATCCTGCAGCTTCCACCAGGGAAGGTTCCTGAACCTGTAGAGCTACCGATCCCTGAAGTGATCTCTCTGTTTCCTTCAAGGAGGAAGGAGTCTTCTCTGGCAGAGAGGCGAGCTGGTCTGGAGGAGGTGCCGAGCTCTGAGGCTGCAGAGAAGCATTCTGCTCTTGCAGAGAGGTTGGGATCTGGTCCAGATGATCCTCATCAGCAACATGCGAAGGGTCATGTTCCACTAAAGACAGCTTCGCTTCTTCCAAAGAAGCAGCCACATCTTGTAATGGCTTCTGTTCCTCATGAGAAGGAAAATGATCCTGTAGAGATGGCAGGCTGGGATCTAAAGGGGATTCCTGCACCAAGGATGAGATCTCAGCTCCAAGAGATCCCTGACTTTCTCCCGGAGGAATCGTCTGATCCAAAACAGTTGGTGGATTCTGATTAAGTAGCAAGGATGCCTTTGCTTCTAAGCATTGACTCTCTGTTTCCTGAAAAGAAGATATCGGGTTTGGAAGGGATGCCTTGGTGTCTTGTTGAATGTGAGAAATTTGCTTTGATGGAGATAATATAATCGGATTTTGAAGGGACACCTCAATTTCTTCCAGAGAGTCCGGGAACTTGGTTTCATCTACAGGTGGGTTCTGGTCTGGAAATGATGGTTTGGGCTGCTCATGCAAATCCTCTGGTCCCTTTCCTCCTTCTCCTTGTGCTGTTGCCTCAGTGCCAGGAGAATTTGTCAGGCTTTGCAGGTTCAGTTGATGTTGCGGCCCGGAAACGACTGATTCTGCTGCAGGGGTGTGGTCAGTTGCTAGGTCCTGGGCACGCTCCATCTCCATGGCACCCTCTTCCGGCAGCCCTTTCTTTCCATCTTCCACCAGTCCTACCTCTTTGAGTAACTCTTCATCGGCCTGCTCTTTGGAAGACTCAAGGGAGATGGCCTTGTCCTTCAAAGGCTCGGAAGGACCTTCCTGATTGCATGAAGTTGGAGACTGTCCCTCAGGACCATCGCGACTACCAAGTCCACCATCCACTTGGCCTTCTTCAGCACTAGGGAGCTTTTCTTCATTTGAGGTATCACAGAAAGGGCCCGATCTATTCCCTTCTTCACAACCATTCCCTAAGAGCAAGTTGTTCTCCAATTCTTCGTCTTTCCCAATGGAACTCTGCTTCTGACCAACGGCGTCCATGCTGCCTACTGCCTGGCCCAAGTGGTCCCGGATGACCATCTCCTCCACAGCCAGCTTCCTATGATGGCTGGGTTCATTAGGTTTCTGACTTTGTAATGCTGTCTGAACACCAAACATACCTTTAAGAGAGAGAAAAAATAACATGATATCAGACTCTGGGCATGTTTCAGTAAGTTGCATAAAATCATAGAATAATATACAGTGGTGCCTCGCTTGACGATGTTAATTCATTCCAGCAAAATCGCTGTAGAGCGAAAAGTCGTCAAGTGAAATAAAAAAACCAATTGAAAGACATTGAAAACCATTCAATGCATTCCAATGGGTGAAATACCTGCTCGTCCAGCGAAGATCCTCCATACGGCAGCCATTTTCTGGTGCCTGTAATGCAAGGAATCCATCCCTAACACAGCAGGGAGCCATTTTCCACAGCAGGTGGCCATTTTGAAACCCGATGATCACCTCTTTCCTGATCGTCATAAAGCGAAAAACCGGTTCCCGAAACAGGGAACCGATCAATGTTAAGTGAAATTCCCCCATCTAAACATCGTTTTGCAATAGCAAAAGTGATTGCAAAAACTTCAATGTTAAGTGGATTCGTTGTCAAGCGGGGTAATCATCCAGTGGGGCACCACTGCAGTTGGAAGGCGCCTATAAGGCTGTTGAGTTCAACCCCGTTCAGTGCAGGAACCCAAACCAAAGCAAATCTGACAGATGGTTGTCCAATCTTCTCTTGAATGCCTCCAGCGTTGGAGAACTCACCACCTCCTGAGCTAATGGGTTCCATTGTTACAGTATATGGCTCTTACAGTTAAGACACATTTACTGAATCTGGCTTCCTGTAGCTTGAGTCCATTATTACCTGTCCTGCACTCTGGATGATCCTCCCAGAGTGCAGGACACATTTATGTTTACATAAGTTGAAATACATCAAATAAGCAAGGCTGGACAGGCCTCTCGCAGGAAAGAAGTCCATTAGAAGACACCTGGTCCTCCACACCACAAACTCCTATTGATTACGCGTGGATTTAACCAATCCCTGCTCCCCCCCCTATTCTTGTCAGACCACTAGTGTGTTTGATTCTCCCAAGAGCCGTACAGATATATAGACTCCTTAAAGCCTGTTTTCCCACACAGCTGGCATTTAATTTAAAAGATAATCTCAGTTTGACCCAGAGTTGATGTTATGTACCCTTGAACTTCTTTATATTGTTTTCTGAACATCCTTTACTTATTTTTAGCCCCAAACAGAACAGATTGAAAGTCCAAGAGGTTCTTGTTTTTATCCCATCTTATTGAGTAACATAAACAAGCATATCTAAGAGAATATATGAATGTTTGTCTGAGCACATGTTTAAAAAGTGAAAACTAATTTAGATAACTTAAAATCCTTAACTTGATAAACTTGAACTAAAAACCTAAAATGGACATATGACAATATAAATGTTCTGCTATAAGTTACTATATGTAACAAAACCTATACGTTCTAACAAACTTGAATATTATATCTGGAAGCTTAAAACTAATGTATTAAAATGATCAATGTAACTTTACTGGTAGAAGAAAAATATTCGCTAAAGAAAAGATTTTCTAAGTTAGAAAAAATATTTCAATCATAAATTCTCTACCAAGTTACATCTATTAAATATCTTTAACAAAGTGTATTAAAAATAAATCTAGAGCATAAACAGATTATACAATTACATCAATAAAAATCATACTCTCTTCAGCAGAGTTTTGTCTCTTCTAACAAAACTTGTGAAGCATCATGCCAGCTCCTTAAACTGTCTAATTCCAACTACCGTATTTTTCGCTCCATAAGACGCACCTTTCCATAAAATGCACCAATTTTTTAGGAGAAGAAAACAGGAAAATATAATCTGTTTTCTTCGCTCCATAAGACGCACAGACTTTCCACCCCCCTGTTTTGTGGGAAAAAAGTGCGTAATACGGTACTTCTACACCTCTTTAGAACTATAAGCAATTCTCTCTGCTTACTTGGATTTTCTAACTGTAGGAAACTACTATGTATTCTAGTTTAGTGCAAATCTCAGTTTAATTCAATCCTGTTCAGTTACCTTAAATTAGCAAAGTTTGTTTACAAAACATATTTTATTATAACGAAATGTCAACTAAATGTTAACTTTCAGAAACTGCAACCTTTATTTCTGATACTTAGTTATAATGTATTGATGACACTCTCATAGTTCAAATATTTATATTTTTCCAAAAGACTATTGGATTCTTCTTTCTATTGAATTCTTCTTCTACCTGTCAAGTGTTTTTCTTGTACAGTTTTTGGTAATGAAATGACCTTATGTTTTGTCAATTAACTGGCAATTCCAAGCCTTGTTTTAAAATGGCTCAGATTTATTTCTCTTCTCCTCTCAGTTTCCCCAGTATCTTAACCATTTGTACATATAATATTTTTCTAAATTTGACATACTGTGCTGGAAATCACAGTATCTCCAGAGAGAACACAATTTTCCAGGGTTCCTTGGGAAGAGGGGCTGATTAGTAAATGGCCAATTTTCACCCATGGAATAAATATGTCCCATAATCTCATGGCAGCCCAAAACACATTGCTGCTTCAGCCTAAGGACACGTTGGTGCCTGCAGAAGCCAAAGGGGCTGAGAACTAATTATTATTTCAAACCTGTGAGAGGAATAGTAGTTTCTATGATTCTGAGGTTAGCAGGTAATTTTAGAAAGTGCAGGAAATATGTCCTGGAACACCCAGCTCTGTCCTCCCACAAAAAATGCCTCAGGGGTCGCTGCCAGTTTCCTCACGTGGGAGAGCCACTGGTCCTCAACTTGCCACACTGTACCCAAGGACAGGGCCAGCCTAAGGTGAAAAGGGAGGGGCCAGGCTTCTTAAAGAGATGGGAACCTTTCGGACTCCTTGGACCTCAACTCTTCCTAGTCTAGGCATGCAGGTTCCCTAGAGGCTGAGCTCAGCCTCAGAACAGCCCTTCTAGAGTAAGCAGAAGGGGACCCCTGGCGGACCAAAAGCTTCCCAGCTGCTTGGACTGCCTGCTGCTCCCTGTCTTACTTTGCTTTGGCCCTTCCCACAGCCTTCTGCAAGTAATCTGGACAAAGCTTTGGGAACAGCCATGTCACCACCAGTGGTCCTGGATTGAGGTGTTTGGAGCTGGCAACCTGGAGATCGTGTCCAAAGCAGATACAGCTGAGAAGAAAAGTGCCCACCCTGAATAACCAGCCCAGAGACAGGATAAGGCCAACTACAACCCAGCTGTCCACCTTGTGTCACTTGACAGCTGTTGACTTAAAAAGCTCTTGGCCCCTGAAAGCTCCAGCGAGGGTGTCCAAGGGCAGCACAGGTCTCTCTCATGGCCAGAGTGACAAAGAAAGGAAAGCGCCAGAGCCAGAACGCTGTAGCATCAATCACAATTAGGCTGGGTAAGATTCAGGAATGGAGATCTGGGTTCTAGTCTCCACTCCATCCATGAAAGTAACTGGCCTACCTGGGCTCAGTCATTCTCCATCAACCTGACCTACCACAGAGGATTGATGTGAAGGTCACATCATGGGGGGGGGAGGAGCTTCCCATGCTACCTTGATCTCCTGGGAAGAAAAGAGGGGTGTAAATGCAGCAAACAAGAACAATAATAATAATCTTGGCTTCTTCCACGCCAAAGGAGTCGTCACATAAGACCTTCTATACTGTATCCAAGAAAGAGAGCTTTCTGTACCAAGACACTTAAGACTGCACTAGAATATCCAGAATTACTCTATTGCAATGCTGCTTAAGAACACCTACACACTCAGCTACATATCCATAACTGCACACACTTGATCTGCATTGTTCATGCAGGTTTTGGAAGTCATGGGGTTGGGAGGGGAAGAGCAAAGATCTGCATGGGATCCTTACATCCTAGCCACCACTGATGGCACTCTGACTTTGCACCCCCTGCAGACTACCTGGCCTGCTCCCTTATTCAGTGGCAGATCTTGTGACTTACGAGTACTCACCATCTCCTGACATCTCTCCATTCTGCAGCTTCTCTTCAGTTGCTTCCTTCACACTCCTCTTGGGTGGAACAGGAGCCAGTTCAAGGCTGGGTTCAGTGCCACTTCCTCCTGTAAGAAATTCATTAGGTCACATTCAGATAGATTTGCTAGATCCTCAAATGCCAGGTCTCCAGAGGCTAGAGGTAGAAGAAGTGACTCCCAAAGCTCAGAACCTGTCCTTTCAAAGAAAGGGATTTTGTAATGGGTGCCTCTGAATGTTTTAATGCAGGCTTGGGGTGGTAGTTGCAGAATACAGTACACTTATAGAAGGGGGCACCTATTTGGGCATATTGCTCTCTCCCACCGGGACTATAAGAAACTGTGAAGATAGAGGGAAAAGCAGTGCGGGAAGAACTTAGCTTAAGGTAAGATAGCACCTCACAATGGAGAGAAGTGAAGAGCAGTGAGCCCCACGGATCTGCCCTAGGACTAGTGCTTTTCAACCTGTTCAAAAATGACCCAGAGACACAGATACTGTAAGGGGTGAGGTGGCAAAGTTTGCAGACAAAACTTTTCCGGGTGGTAAAGATCAGAAGGGATTGTGAAGAGCTCCAGAAGGATCTCTCCAAACTGCGAGACTGGGTGGCAAAATGGCAAATGCGTTTCAATAGAAGAAAATGTAAAGTAATGCACATTGGGGCAATATATATATATCAGCTGATGGGTTCTGAGCTGTCCATGATGGATGAGGAAAGAGATCTTGGTGTGCTGGTGGACAGCTTGATGAAAGTGTTAACCCAGTGTGCAGCAGCAGTGAAGAAGGCCAATGCCATGCTAGGTATCATTAAAAAGGGGATTGAAAATGAAACAGCCAACATTATAATGCCATTGTACAAAATGCTGGTAAGGCCGCACCTGGAGTATTGTGTACAGTTCTGGTCGCTGCACCTCAAAAAAGTCATTGTGGAACTGGAAAAGGTGCAGAAGAGCACGACTGAAATGATGGCTGGGCTGGGGCACCTCCCTTATTAGGAAAGGCTACAGCGTTTGGGGCTCTTTAGTCTGGAGAAAAGGTGCCCAGGGGGAGGTGATTAAGACGCATAAAATCATGCAGGGAATGGATAAAGTGGATAAAGGGAAGCTCTTTTCCCTCTCACGCAATACCAAAACCAGGGGACATCCACTCCCATTAAGTGTTGGGAGAGTGAGAAAAGACCAGAGAAAATATTTCTTTACCCAACAGGTTGTTAGTCTGTGGAACTCCTTGCCACAGGATTTGGTTATGGCATTTGGCCTAGATAAAAGGGGACTGGACAGATTCCTAGTCCATTGCAGGTTACAAGCCATGACGAGGATGTATAATCTCCAGGCTTAAAAGGAAGGTACCTCAAGATGCCAGATGCAGGGGAGGGGTATCAGGAGACAGGTACCTAGTTGTCTCGTGTGCTCCCAGAGGCCTGTGGTGGGGCCACTGTGAGATATAGGGAGCTGGACTAGGTGGGCCCTTGGCCTGATCCAGCAGGGCTCTTATGTTATGTTCTTATGTACCCCATCTCTCCCAAGTAGGAGGGAAATATACTAGACCTGCACAGAAATGAAGACCACATTGTTCAGATGTGTGATGGCCATTTGTATCAGTTGAGCTTTTAAAGAAGAATCTCTAGACATGGGTTGTGTGCCCAGGTGATCTAAATGGCAATAAAAAGCACAGAGAATAACTTACCTTCTGGGGGAGGAGGGGGAGGAGACATTGTCACAAGAGCCTGGGAAGAAAAGGAAGAACCTTTATGGTAACCTTATCCATAAAGATTAATAGGTACGCTGCATAAAAAATTCCTGAATGAATGACGGGATCGAAGAAGTGGCTGCTTCCAGATCAGCAACAAGGCCTGTAGCAGCCAAGCTTTTCTTAACCAGAATTACACACGATAAGCCCCACTTAGTGCAGCAGGACTTCTCTTCCTTTACAACTGCAGCCAAAGTTGAGAAGGTTGCACCTACTGTGCATAACCTCAACAAGCCAATAAGGTTTGCATACTGTCCACATTAATTTGGAAGACGTCAAATTACATTTTGAAACAATACTCCTAGACTACAATTCTGAACTCTTAATTAAAACGAAGCCCTGTTGTCCTAAGACCTTTTCTGTTAAATAATTCCAGATGCCAAGCTCTTTTAGGATTGATCCAAGATCCACACTCTTAAATATTTTTGAAACCTGATGGTAAAACCTGATAGGAATGGGAAGGAGAAAGAACATGGAGATTGGGGTGAAGGAAACTATAGGAGCAAGATTCACACAAGATAGTTTAGAGAAGACCGTACTTTCTCCCATTGTGCCTTCCTTGTGGTCTGGAAGCAAATGCTTGTAAAGAGGAAAGCAGCTCTTTAAAAGCTGATCAACCTGTCCACATTTTTTTCTTATTTTTGTTTTTCTCCCAGATCCAAATTTGGATTCTGAAAAATGTTTAGAATAAATGTTTCCTATCAAAGCTTAAATTGCTATTAACTATTATAAATACTAGGAAAACAATTAATTCCCTATCAACTGAATCCGTTTTGTGCCACAAAACTAATTCTCCACTTCCTGAGAAATCCTGTGGTTGCAGGGGGCCACCACAGGTCAAGACAGCCTCACCTCCTTCACAGCATTTGCAGATTCTTTTGACTTCTGCTCTGGGTTGTCCAGCTGCTGCATCTGAGACTGGAGACTTCAGGGGAGGAAGGGAGGGAAAGAGGGAGGGATGGAGGGAGGGAGAGGATAAAAGAGAGAAATTGACATTAAGAACAATGTCCCAAGACTTTACCAGGCTGTAAAGTGATGAGGAACAAAAGTATGAACCATATAGTGGTCAAAATCCAAGAGCAATATCTTTTGGGGCACCAAACTGTGAACTAGGGATCCATTTACAGGAGATTCATGCGCTGTGCCACCATAACACATGCCTCAATGTAATGGTTCACAAATGTCCTGACACCACACCCCCTTTTTTATTTCTAAGAAAATTCCTCATGCCACCCAACCTCTCTTTTACAGTGGCCCATGCCCCTTTTAATAAAAACCTCAATTTATACTTTGAAATTAAAAAGAAGCGCGCATACGCACACACACACACACAAAAAACCCCCTGTTTTTTGTAAGTAAAAAATAAGACAGGGAATCTTGATGCCCGTTTTCCATTGCCTATATCAAAAGCAATTTTCCCAATGGTCCTTTAAAATAGCCTTTGGAGCTGAGCACTATGACTGTATTCCATGCACAGGAATTGTTTTTTGCCATATCTTTTTAGATCGTAAACGGATGGGCAGGGATCAGTTTATTGATTTATAAGCTCCTCTAACAAACCTCCTGGCTGAAGACTGGGCTGAAGAATGGGATACAGATGCCAGAAATAAATAAATGAGGCCAGAGTGTGGAGAGGTGGGATAGGGGGAGAGAGAAACAGAGGGGCAGAGAGTGAACTCCATAACTACAGGACTCCGCTGGAAGCTTCCCTACCTGCTCCCCTCTAGCTTGGCTTCCACTTTTGCACTGCCGGTGGGCTACTGTTACGAGAGGGTGACCGAATCCTCCAGAAGCACTGCTGACTCATTGCTCAATATTGCTCCCTCAACCCAAGCACGGCTCCCTCAGGCCAAGGCAGTGGTTTCAGGCATCTCTGGCCTGGCTTGCTCTTTCTTTTTAGTCTCAAAACAACTTCCCTTCCGGAGAGGAGAAATCAGAGAGGCAGGAGGGAGATGCGAAGTGCCAGCTAAACAGCCCTCCTCTTCATTCCCTGAGGACCTCAATGCCATCATCGGTTTCTATCTATGGCTCCAACAGGAATAGCACATTGTTGTTATCATTTATTTATCCATTTCATCTATTTATTCCCATCAGCATAACAAGGACAAGCCCCTGGCCTGAGACACTTGCAATCTAAAACAAAATGAGTAGGGGAAATGTGCCCAGGGGTAAACACAAGGAACCATTTGTCTCCCAACTTCTCAGCTGCACACACTTGAACTTAAGGACACTTCAGCAACCTTCCCCAACCGGTGCCCGTCTGATGAACGGGGCTAGAACTCCCACCAGCTTAAGTTACAAGTGGCCGCACTAGGGCAGAGGGCGAGAAGAGAGTCCTGCTCAGGGCACGAGGCGGCTTCTGTGCTGAGAGGCAGTTCCTGGTGACAGCAACAGCAAGGGAGAAAAAAAGGAGGAGACCTTTGGAGAGCTGAGGGAGGTGGCGCAAGGGAAGGCAAGGTTATAAGCAGGATGATCGTTTTGTTGAATGTAATGTGGCTGCTGCTCAACAGCTTCAGCCCAGAGATGGCTGCCGCTGAAAGGCAGTCTCCTTCAAGCATCACTATACAGCTGCTAACCAGGTGGGCGAATCCTTTCCTTTGATGGCCATAAGCTCTTATGCAGTTCTTGAAACAGCCGCTGTGCTCTACCTAAGTCTTTCCTCTGTGCCGGGTGAAACCGTGGGAAGTCCCAATCCTTTTGCGCTGTTCTCAGTTGCTCCCCCACCGTCCCCTTGGACACACCCACCTGGACAGATCTTGTTCTAACTCTTGGATGCGACTGTTCGCCTCCCAAACGGAAGACATGTGGTTGCTGTCATCCGTAGGTGCAGACATTCCCTCCATCAGCCACCGATCACGCAGGGATTTCCTCTGAGGGGAGAGACAGAGAATGCCTTTATCAGCTCCCCTGGACTGGACAGGCACGCAATGTGGACACGTGGGCTGTCAGAACACATCAAGACCAGACAATAGACTTCCAGGCTCTCTCTCGCTCTCTCTCGCTCTCACACACACACACACACTCACACGCCACACGCCAACAGTTTCTCCTAGGTGTGTTTCACACACACACACACACACACTCACACGCCACATGCCTACAGTTTCTCCTAGGTGTGTCCAGAATTGTGTATTTATTCAGCCAGAGCCACACATATACCAATTCAGACCTACTCATTTCACATTAAGCTCTCAGACTTGCCAGCAGAGGTGGAACACACCCACTAGTGCAGATACTTTATCTGTAATGCTCAGAGAGCTTCCTTCTTTCTTTCCCTCTCTTTCTTACACCCAACACCATCATCTTCACTAGCTAAGCATTCATACAAAAAGGACCAGGTAATAAGTTTGCCCCCCCCTCCGCCAGTATCAATCATTCCGTGCACAAATCTCTGCCCACAAGGGCTCCTGGTTCACTTGCCTCTAATCATCAAACCGCAGGCCAATTGAAGAAGAAACCTTACAAATCCGTCCCTCCTTGCACATGTGTGGGGGTACCTCTGTGCATGTAGGATCCACTGCATTGACACTCCCCTCTCCCTCATTTCCCCCGGCGTGTGTGATTTCTGACTATAACCTCAGACTCCAGATATATCCCTCCTGGCGGTCCCTCCCACCGATCTCTCTCACACCCACCCACCCATGGGGACCGTTTCTCTTCTCATCCTCCCGCTCCGTGCAGCATCCTCCCACCTCCACAGCCCTTGGTCCATCCATCGCTGTATCCCCTCTCCGGCTGGTTTACCTTGAGGCGCTGGGCTCGTAGTCTCTCCTCCTCCAGCTCCCGGCGGATGGCCAGGATCCGCTCCCGCAGCCTGCGCCGCTCCTGCAGCAAAGCAAAGGCAAGGGAAGACCGGGGCGAGGGTGAGGGTGGGGAGGCGAGGCGAGGCGAGGCGAGGCAGGAGCCGCCCTGCAGAGAGACGCGGACAAAGAGCCCGCCGCCGAGAGGAGCGGGGCGGTCCTGAGCCCACGTGGGCGACTGGCAGGCAGGCAGGCAAGCAAGCAGACAAGGCAGGGCTCGGTCCCTCCTCGTCTGCCCGGTTACTCACATCGGCCGGGCCACCAGGCGCCTGAGCCTTAAGGAGCCACCCCGAGGCCCGGCATTCCTAGCTTGGAGGAGCCCCCCACCTTTTTAGCCTCGCCTCCTGTTCCACTCCCGGCGGCGGGCACCCCCCACTTCTTTCTCCCGCCTACTGCCCTGCCTCATTCTGGCACCCTTCTCTCCACATCCAGACTCACCCTTCAGGGCCAGCCCCCCCCTTGCCGCCCGTTTAAGGGTCTTCCAACTGTGCCAACGCTCCCCACTTTTAAAGATAGCTAATGGCGGGGGGGGGAGGAAGGCGGGAAGGCTGCCCTGGCCAGAAAGGGCCGTCCTGCCCCCTTAACCCTACCAGCCGCAATTTGGGGTCTGCTTTGTTCCAGTTTGGCTCCAGATCTTTACAAGAGATGATAAGAGGACCAGGGGTTGACTCCTCTCAGCTCATGCTTTTCTGCTACAAAGGAACAACAACGGTGGCACCTTGAGGCACCACACTGTCCTGAAACATTCATTTCCCCTTAGTTGTGAACACTGGCTAATAACAAAAGAAGAAACATTTTGGTTTTTTTTTTTTAAAAAAAATTCTGAATACCACACACACTAGAATTTAAAAAAAAACATAAAAAAGTAACAGAAAATAATATGCCACTAATGTTTTTAAAAATTAAAACAGCAAATGTCCATTCAGTTAACATATGCCTTCTTAAAAAGGATGGTCTTTGATAGCCTGCAAAAATTCCATAAATAGTATAAAGAAAAAATATTAATGCTGCAAAGAAGTAAATGAAGGAATGAGACTGTTTCCCCTCAAAACAGTATTCAGGAGCACTAAAGATACCCTCTCCTGTCATCTCCTTTAAGCAGGTCTTTTGTCATCAGTTTGGGACACCTGAGGCATCACCCAGACTGATTTCAGCAGGAGAGCAGGCTCATAGTATAAGCAAATACCCTTTTTAGGTGCGGGTATTTAAAAACCATCATTGATTCTTGGACTTGGAACCCAGGCCTGAAACAAAGAGGAAACCAATGTACAGCCATTTCAACAAGGGATTCCCATGCGCCTCAGACTGCTGCATTCTCTATAAGCTTCTAAAAACCAATCCAACTTTTATAAACTAGAGGTAGAGCTTTTGGCACCTCTAATCCATGCAAACGCAAGCCTTCAAAACATGACTTCCCTGGAATCTCCCAGCCTACTCTGACCCTAGTTACCCAAAGCAGTGCAGGGAAAATCTGGTTCTATCTTCCATTCCTATGAAAACATGGTTGTCAGGTGGCTTTCCCTAGAATCCCGGGTGGGGGTGGGGGTAGTTTTGTTTTGGTAGTTCACACTTCTGCCTCAGAATGCACCCTTTTTATAAGGTTTCCTGTAAGTATGGAAAGCTGTCTGAATAGATCAATGAGATGGGTAGCTAGCTGCCTGGGGAGCCAGAGGTCTGGGAATTCAACTCCCCAGTGTGCCTTGTCAGAAAAGAGCCAGCCTGTGTGGGTTTGGGCAAGTTGTACAGTCACAGAACACCCCTAGAAGGCAGCAGTGGGAAAACCACTCCGGAACCTGAAGGCACAATCCACCAGAACCGTTTCCTGCTTAAATTTTCTTTTCAGCAACAGCTTCATGTTGGTTGTTGTGGGTTTTTCGGGGCAACAGAGCGTGGACAGAGTTCCTACTCCAGTCCTCTGAAGATGCCGGCCACAGAGACTGGCGAAACGTCAGGAAGAACAACCTTCAGAACAGGGCCAATGAGCCTGAAAAACCCACAACCATTAGATCCCGGCCGTGAAAGCCTTCGCGAATGGCTTATGTTCTTGTGAAATTCTTGTTCTCTTTGAAGAAGGTTGTTCAGGATACTCTTTTCATTAACCCTCCTAATAAGGAACAGGAATTGCTTGGAGACCTCAATTTAAAATTAGGGTTTTAGCAGGCAACGTCTCCAGGGAGTTGTGACTCATGTCAGTATGCATGCATAGAAAGGCGCTTGTTTAGCTGACCTTGAGTTGGCCATGGCTTTTTTTTACACATGGGGGATGGGTGAAATGGGGGTTCTAATCTGCACTAGTGACTGAGCATCTGAAAATAAGGAGTGGTGTTTACTTTGGATTAATAAGTTTCTGAGTATAACAGCATGATCTCTGATACAGTGTTTGGGTGTGGAGGCTGCACCTCCTCCTGCTCACAAAAGTGCACTTGCTGTTTACAAAGTCTGTGCATGTGCTCTGTCACCCAGCGACAGACATATGGCCGTAGCTGTGTCTGCTGCGGTTCACGTACTCCAGGCTCTTTCTGCATTTCTGTTGATATTCAGCATCTCCATCTCTCATCTCCACGCCCCCCCCCAATGCTCTCCCTGCATAGAAACATCTGCCAAAGCATGGCTCACAACAAGAAATGTTTACTCCTCTTTCTGACTCGTGCTAATCATGACAACATCTCCCCATCTGGATGTGTGCGTGTGAGTGCACACACAAGGGCAGCCCTACACAAACCCCATCTCTCCATCGCCACTCCTCCCATCTCTGGGCAGGGCTCCGGATCTCTCTCTCTCTCTCTCTCTCTCTCTTTCTCTTTGGCTCCAGTTGGAGTGATTGCTGGCCTGGTGAATAATTCATTTGTTTTAAGACAGGATGAGCAAAGGGAAAGGAGATCAGGTTACCCTCACCCCCATCCTGACTGCTCAGTGCTTCCCCAGGCACGGGGGGGGGGGGGGGGGGGAAACAGCCTGTATTTCACCCAAACCCAAGATGATGGCATTTTCAAGGTTTGTAATTAGGGCAGACTGCCCGGATCGAGTCCCGTTCCCCCCCCCCCCCCATGAAAAAGGCCACATAACGGGAAAGGAAAAGCATTGCCCCTATGGTTCTCATCTTCATATTTGCCATTTTAAACGTCTAGTGTATCCTGTGGGGTTCAAACAAAATCTGGAGTTTCTGGTTACATCAGTCTTTTTTTTTTAAACCAGAAAAAAAAAAGCAAAAGTGGGACGTTATTCAAAATTGAGCAGAAGCTAGTCTTTTGGAGGAGTTCCTTCCCCAGAGCTTTTCTCACAGGTCTGACTCTGAGGAAGATTCCAAGAATGTCATTCTCAGCCAAGCTAGTCATCTGTTTAGAGACTTGGAAGAAATCCACTCCCTACAAGGCTATTACTTGGGCTTGTAAATAGCCACAAGCACGGTCCCCTATAGCAAGTGGGGGTTGCCTGTCAGCAGCAAGGGGACTGGAATCTACGAGATGGGAGGGGGGAATACTTTGCATACATTACTTCAGTCAGTCATCTGTCCATCAAAACCTGATTGTCCACTAGCATTATTTCCTTGAGCTGAAGCAGCAAACTATCCAAAGAATTCATGCCTGAAAGGTTTTTTTAAATTAAAAAAAGAGGAACACCTTAGCTTTTACAGGGCTGAGCCAGCCATCATTTTCACACCTGTATGGCTTGCATGCTTAGGATTCCATGTATCTTTTCGTACACTAAAATCCACACTCAAGAAAATTTATATTGGGATGATGGAGGAAGGGGTAAATTGACCATGTATCATTTTTCTGAGATGTCCCCTCCATCTGTAACAAAGGCTCTGTGTGTGTGTGTATGTGTGTGCGTGTGCACGCGTTTGTTCATGCGTTTATGCATGCACATGCAGCCAATTTGCCACAGGCTGGATCAGGCTGAACAGGGTTGCTCTGAGATAGGATATGCCATTACGAGCAGTCCTTCCATCCACACCCAAAGACCAGGTGGTACAGGGTAGGGAACCACACCTACCTCAAGAGATCCTATTGAGTACATTTCTCCCTTTAAAGGGAATGTGGGGGGGGGGGAGAGAACAAAAAAGATCCCTCTTTACATCCCCTCCTGTCTCCCCCTCAATGGGGTAGCACGGGAAGGCTGTAATTTTCTTAAAAAATTATTTCTGTTTTTTTGTAAGTGACAAAAATCGGCTTTCTCCCATTGAAGATGAGGCAGAGTGGGATTTTATTTATTTATTTATTGTTTTCATTTGGTCCCGTTAAATCCAGCACTGAATAGACTTTCCATTCAAGTGATTCAGCACTGGATTTAAAGGGACCAAAACAAAAGAAAATAAAAAAAATTAAAATCCCATCTGCCTCCTCTTCAATGGGAGAAAGACGATTTTTTAAAAAAAATCTTTTAAAAATTATTAATAAGTGCTATTATGGAAGATCTGCTTTGGCTCAATACATGCCAGAACCAAACCAAAACAGAGTGATCCCACCCACATTTAAAAAATAGTAGTCTCCACCAGAGAGCTAAACAGATGCAGGTAGGCATGGATAAGGGTCAGGCTGTTTTGCAATTATCAGAATGCCACATGCCTACAGTTTCAGGCCTTTGGCTGTAGAATAAATTTATTTATTTATTTATTTATTTTATTTCTATCCCGCCTATCTGGTCATACTAGACCACTCTAGGCGGCTTACAATTGGAGCAACAATAAAATTATTAAAAACATTACAATTTGTATTGTATTGTATTATCAGAATGTCAAATGAAGTAAACCATCCAATTCCCAATGTGGTCCAAAGATTGGGATAAAGTGCCATCTGAACACGCCCTCAGTGATGTTCTTTGCTACCCACTGGGGCCTAAACCAAGGGTAGGAGCTCCCATCAGCTTCCACAGCATTGCCAATGGTGAAGAATTATGGGAACAGGAGTCCCAAAACTCCTGGATCCATAGTTGCTCACTCTAAGACTAGATTCTAGGATAGTGTTTCCCTACATGAGGGGTGTGATCCCCAAGGAAAACTCCTGGATCCATAGTTGCTCACTCTTAGACTAGATTCTAGGACAGTGTTTCCCTACATGGGGGTCGTGATCCCCAAGGGGGTCACAAATTGTCACAGGTTGCCTTATATGTGTTGTAGCCCTTGTTAAATATTTTCTTCCTTGATCTTTCAGAGTGAGATATTAAATGCGTATCTTCTCCATATATAGACTGGTGTTTTCTTATTTGGGGGTTGTGACAAAGTGTTTTCTGGTGGGTTGCAGGTCACCTTATATGTGTTGTAGCCCTTGGTAAATAATTTGTTCCCTGACCTTTCAGAGCAGGATATTAAAGTTAGCATATATGTGTATGTATGAGAAACAGGCCCTTTGAGAGAGACAGAATCCTGTAGTTTCTGAGAAGGGATGACTTTACCCCATTAAAAATGCTTTTTTATGCACGGGGGAGGCAGTTGCAGGTTACTCGGCTGTTATAAAATTGGCCATACCTCAAAAAAGCTTGGGACCCACTGCTCTAGTCTAGAGGATCTAAGTACAACCCACAATTTTAGCAGTAAGAATTAAGAGGTGGGTCTTCTTCAAATGCTGCCTCTGAAAGGCAGATACAACTCTTATAAATATCAACTCTTCACCACTATGCTGTCGTCTCCAATTTACCAGCACCCCTGTTCATAAATAGCAGTTTTAAGATCAAGTCCATTAAAAAAGATCAGTTTTCAGCAGACTCCCCCACATCTTGAGTTGGCCTTAAAGGAAACTTTCTTCATGGTATCATCCTGATCTGACAACCCCACAGCTGCTGTTGCTTTTAGTGAAGAAGAAAAACAAAGGGATCTCAAGTCTGGGATTGGAACAGGTATAGGAATGTGAGGTTGTCCAGATGTTGAACTGCAACACCCATGATCCTAATCATTGACTATACTAGCTAGAGACATGCTGCTTGCTGCTGCTGAAAGAGAAAGAGGTAGCCTCTAGCTACTTCTTCAGGCATGCAATTTTTGAGGCCAAACCCCGGGTCCCCCCTCTCCGAACTTCAAGGCTCCTCCTGGGAGCCTGGCACTGAAGAAATTGCCAGCAGGAGACACACAGCTGTCTCCTTCTCCTTCAACAGTGGGAGGGGATGATTCATGTGGCCCTGGCTCCTTTAGCAGCAGGAGTAGATGATGCATGCCAGTGGCCTTGGCTTCTGCCGCTGTCTGCCACTGGTCATCACAGCTGGTGATGCTACGACTGCTTTGTCCCAACCCCCCTCCCCATTACACTGCTTTTCCCAGCTTCGCCACCAAGCTTTGTCAAGGATGGCATGGGGTTGGACTGACTTCTCTCATCATCGCTGCTTCTCTTTTTTTCCAGAATGTGCTTCCTTGCACTCTCTATCATTTACATGGGATGGAGGGGGCAAGAACAGCACTGTTCCCTGATCCTCAAGCCCACATCTTTGTGCGCCCTTCCCGGAGTGGCAACACACTTGGCTGTCTCCAGGGCTGAGCCAATTTGGGCAGCTTTCTCTTATGGCTTAATGGCAGGGCTGGCCTTGTCTGAAACATTTCTCCCCACCATTCCAGTTATGCTGCCTTTCAATATCTGAATACCATAGACAAATGGAGTGCCTACTATGCCAGTGTTTTTACTGAGAGTGGAAAGGAAAGCCATGTACAGTCTAAGGCTAGAAGCTGTTCCCTTAGAAACAGTTTCTTCAAAGGAGGACTGTATTGTCCTCAACATCAGCTCTTGTTATGCTCATGTAATACTATTTTGAGGGAGTGGGGATAGAATAGAATGGCATTCACATCAGAATCAAAGAACATGAGACACACTGCAGACTAAAACAACCGAAAAAAATCAGCAGTAGCTGAACATGCTCTAAAACAGGCTTGTCCAACCTGCGGCCCGAGGGCCGCATGCGGCCCAGGTCAGCTTGTAATGCAGCCCAGTGCAATTTTTTATTTTTAAAGAAATTCCAAAGTTTCAAGTTACATTGCTAGTGCTTGCGGCCGGCATGCGGCCGAGGCACAACCGAAAAAAATCAGCAGTAGCTGAACATGCTCTAAAACAAGCTGGACATGAAATTCTATTTCAAAATACAGTACTGAAGTACCGGACAACACCAGCAATCATTATGTTAGACTGCACAGAGAAGCCATTGAAATCCATAAACATCAACAGAACTTCAACAAAAAGAAGACCTGAAACAAAACACGGCCTGGCTCCCAATACTGAAAAATACAGCCTGTGAAAGGTCAATGAACTCTACCCAGTCACAGGGTCCAGGGATCATTGCACAAAAAAGACCAGCTAACGACATCCATCAATCACAGTGACAGATAATCTCTCCCCGTTATCACAACAAAAACACGCTGATCACCCTATGTCCTGAAAAGGACAAAAGCTGTTCCCACAGCTATAAATACTCAACCATCCAACAAACAGCAACAGAGCATGGACAGAGTTCCTACTCCAGTCCTCTGAAGATGCTGGCCACAGAGACTGGCAAAATGTCAGGAAGAACAACCTTCAGAACATGGCCAAAGAGCCCGAAAAACCCACAACAATCAATGCAAATTTCCTTTATTTATTAATTTTTGTATCGTTAAGAGTGCTGCTAAAATGCAAGTTTCCCACTGATCAGAAAGACTGCTCCTGCTGCTTCAGTTTTTATGTCAGCGGACAGGCTCTCATGCAAAAAATTCCAAAAAAGCATGCATATCCTGCTAACCAATCAGCAACACCTTACCAGGGTCACATGCCACCAACATTCTTGTTCCTCAATAACTACTCAAAGATTGACTGTCTCTTACTCTATTTGGCTGCAGGTGCAGAGTAAACAATGAGACGCTCCTGATCCCATCATACTGCCAATCCACAGTCTGATATTTGGGTTTTCACAAAACAACTTTTAAAGCATAAGCACCAAAATATTTCATACTGGGGGGGGGGAACACTACAAATTGTCATTTCATTCTGAGAACGATAAGGCGTATTACGTGAGTGTTTAGGCCCATGCTGGATCACCCTCTCCCTCAGCAATGGCTAGTGTGGAGATGCACAACCGTACTGCAGCACCCAAGTTATGCTACTATATATGTGAGCAACATAAATTATTGCTGAAAATACTGATCTGGCAACTATGCACTTCCTTCCATCTCTCCACCCTGCTTTATACCCACATCTCTGGAACACGAGAGAACTCTCCCGGGGAAGAGAGGCAGGTTCTTGGCTGAGAACTCTGACTCCCATTCTCCATCAAGGGGGAACAGGGAGCAAAGGAGAGAACACTTACCGTAATGGCTTGCAGGCGCTGGGCAAACAGGGAGGTCTCTGCCATTTTCCCTCTGAAAGATAAACAGAGCCTCTTGGGACAGGTCCAGAGGACGCTGGATGCCAAGTGGATGCCCGTACTCACCTTTTCCTCTCCCTTGCTCTCTCCCTCCCTCCCTCCTCCCTCAACTTCCCTCGTCTCACATTCTTACTTGCTCTGATCCCTTCCCACAAACAGACCCCCCCTCCCCTCTTCCCACACTTGACATCTGGTCACTGCATTCATGCAATTCAGCAGCATGCCCAGGCATGGTGGGGAAAGGTGGTCTTCTTCCCTGGCTTCCTCCGTCCTTTGGTCCATGGCTGTCTTCACTTTATTTTCTTTGTGAACAGCACCATTCAAACAATTCACCTCAAGAAACTGAAACGTCTTGTGCCTCTGAGGTTTCAAATTGTTGTTGTAATTTTTAAGGAAAAACAGAATGGAAAACTTCCAAGAGGTATGAAGGGACTAGTCACATGCCAAAGCAAATCAAACTGCATAGTTAATAGCCAGCACGTCGATTAGAATACAGCCTAGATCAGCCTTCGGTGTACCACTGCAGGTATGCCTTTGTGGACCACCACAGCGGCATGCAGAAAGCTGCTGGGCAGAAGCCCCCACATGTACAGCACTTAGTGCTCATACAACTATGCAAGACAAATGCAAGAGCAGGTGATACCTTTATAGACCACCTTTAAGTGGTCTATAAAGGTGACACTTCTATGCAAGACAAATGCAAGAGCAGGTGATGCCTTTATAGACCACTTTTTAAGTGGTCTATAAAGGTGACACTCTTGCATTTGGATTTTATAATGACCATATGGCTCCTTTTTATATCTATGCAAGACCAGTTACTCATGTTCTCCCACTTCCAGAATGGATTGCTATTATATGGGGCTGCTTTTGAAGACAATCTTGTCATTTAAATTAGTCTAGGAAGCAGTCACCACCTATCTAAACAGTGGCCAGCAGAGAACTTGTATTATCCCAACGCTTCTTTGACTATGCTGGTGGCCAATCAGTTTCTGGATTCACTGAAGTTGTGAGCTTTGATCTTTAAGTACCAAACAGCTTGAGAACAGACTCAGGAACTACTTCCTGAGTCATATAAACATGCTTACTTGGGAATTTCACTCTACGCCTGAGACCCTTCCCCCAGAGTAACAGATGCCTAACAGATGGTTACAGTGACAACACTCGGACTGTGGAATCATCTCTCAAGTGACTTACCCCTGGTCTCTCTATTTAGTTCTAACTATTGAGTAACAGATGCCTAACAGATGGTTACAGAGGGTGGTGCTTTTTCAGTGCACTTGAAAATTATATTCACTTGGAAAATAACTATCACTGTTCCAACTCTCATGCTCTTATATGGCCCCCTGTTCATTTCAATAGTTGTTGCATAGGAAAAGTTTGCAAGGGATTGTACATTCTGCACTACTGTTCATTCTGTATTCATACCTGGTCCTCTGCTGCAACTGATAAATCTTTTAATTTTGGTTACTTTGGGAGCAGGCAATTGGGCTGAGCAGACCTCTGTGGGTATGGCTTGCCTTTACAGAAGTCCTCTTAATAACAACTCCTCTTTAACATCAGCCCAAACCATGCACTTGCACATCCTTCTACTATAACAGTAACTGCTTGTAAAATAAGAGGAGTAAAGTAAAGTTCAGTGTGTGTTTGTTATACTATGACTGAAGCTGGCTGGATAGCTCAAGTGATTTAACTACGTATTTGGCTACGGAGCTAGAGGTTGGGAGTTCAGTTCCCTACTGTGCTTCTCCTGTGAGTAAAGCCAGCCTGTGTAGCCTTGGGCAAGCTGCACAGTCCCAGGATAACTCCAGAAGAAAGGAACTGGAAACCATTTCTGAGTACTATCTACCTGGGAAACCCTGTAAAGGGTTTGCCATAAGTCAGAATTGACTTGATGGCACATTATGTTGATGAAATTATACTATGAAAACCTGGGCTAATTTAATGACATTCTGAAACTGCATAGACACTAAAGATTCAGAGGGGCATAAGAAAAAGAGCAAGAACCAGGTGAGGGGGGGGAGGGAAGAGAAGTAGGGCATAACAGGCTCCATCCACAACAGTTGTCATGACTAATTTGTAGGATTTCAGTCTCGTACACTTGGTGGAAAGATGTCAAAGTCAGTAGTCTAGGGGCATCATCATGTCTGTACCAACCAGAAGAGTTGTTAACACTAGATTGGTGGGGGAGGAGATGCAAGACAGGTCCTGGTGGGTTCTCAGACAAACAGGTATATTTGCTAGCTGGCTGACAACAAACTAAGTTGCTTCCATACGAAACCCCTTCACAAGCGCAGCTTTCCAGCACTTACTTGGAACTGGAATGGAAAGGTAAGCTCTCCACCAAGGCTAACTTAAAAGTTCTGGTCTCTAAAATACTGTAGAGCAGCAAGGTTTCCTGCCACTTGCCAAGGTCAAGGGCTACAAGACCCAAAGCAATCCCACTTATTTTACCATACAAGACAGAAAAGCACCAATTTCTCCATCCCTCAACAGCAGTAAAATAAAGAATGGCCAATTCGTTGCCCTTTCAGGACCTTAGCAACTGTAGCATTCCCCTTTATTATGTCAATGGTTCATGTTCTGTTATGTTAATTGGTCATGCATATTCATGTTGCTGAGAGGCGGAGCCGAGAGAGATGTGATAAGAGGCGGAGCCTGAGATATTAAAGTCAGTCAGAAGCCAGGAGTCAGTCAGTCAGAGAGTATAAATAGAGTGGGATTGTGGAGAAGGGGACAGAGTTTGAAGTTTGGGGAAATCTGAGGAGTAATTAGAGTTAGGAGTGTATTATCAAATAGAAGATTGTTGTTAATAATAAAGTTACCTAAAGAAGATATTCATGAATCACTATCAATTTCTGTACTCAATAAACAAAAGTTATATTTAAGAGACTTTGAAGTGTGGACCTGAATCTTCATCTTCCTGAAGTAATGATGATTTTGTGATCACCTGGTGGCAGCAGTGTAAAAGAGGGGGTTGTTTGCCTTCGAGTGCTCTTGAGTCTTGAGGGTCAAGCAAGGGGTACGAGGGTGAACGCCACAACAACATCCAAAATCAGCTATCTGAACATGTGGTTACATTGGAAAATACTGTACTTTGCAGTTTGCTCCAGAACGGGCACTGGTGAATTGGAAGTATTTTTCAATGATCACACAACATAAAAGTTAATGTGAATCTGCCCATCCTGTTTCCTTTCCAATCCAGACTTTTCTCAACCTTGCTGTTGAGGCCTTCTAATTGCTACAATTTGAGTTGTGTTTTGCTTGTGCGGTTGTTTGCCTCATTCTACAAAAGGACCAGGGTGCATCACTTCAGGTGCTTCTAGTGAGTTGGCCCTGATGTTCCAGGACAACAGGAACACTCATCCCCACAATTTTTTTCCTTAGTAGCCCTAGAGAAGACGAAGTTTGTGGTGCTGGCTGCTGATTCTCTTCAGCCTCCCAACATGTCAAACATTAAAGGCTTGGTCATTTACTAACATGGGGAAGGGAGGCTACTACTGGTATTGTCTCCCTAGTCCAGGCATTAGGAACAACTCAGCTTACATTGAAAATAATACAGGTCTTTGCATGGGGAGAGATAGCTAGAGAAAGAAGACGCTCTTCTGGTTTCCTGGATTGTCGTTTACTTGCTGTGACCTATGCTGACCTTCCTTCAACCCAGAGTGCAATAGTAGAACTGCTGATATTCTCTTCCTATCTTCCCACATTCTCTCTCTCTTAACTTTCTCTGGGAAAAAACAGAGAAGACATCTTGCTTTTGTTCTCAAGAGATGAGGGAGCAGTATCTCCACTTTAGTTAATTAGAACTTGGGTTCTCATTATCTTTCCTATATCAGTGTGTTTCTTCAATAAATACTGGCCCAAATCCTGTTGCTTAGTTACACTTGCAGACAGACAATGGGTTGACATGTACCTGAAAATCCCAGGAGAGACATTAGTCGCCAGTGAGAAGCTGCTACGAATTATGCTGATTGGCTTCTGTAGGCATAACTACAGAACAGGATTTGGGCCACTGACTTTCTTATATTCTCAGAAGAGGTAGTGTAGGTGTGATTTCTTCACAAATGGGGAAATGTGCTCTGCTAACCATGCTGATATTCAAATCTACAAGTTAACAGTTAACTTTCCAGCATGTATGATCACTGATTGATGCTGCTTGCTCTCCTTAATAGCAAAGACACAATTACATGTCCAGGAAAAAAAACCAAGTGGAATGCCAATCAATTTATGTCAGTTCACATGACAGAAGGGTTACTGTGATCTAAAATGGTGCCCAATGTGCAACATTTTAAACTACTGTAGGACTTTCTATGCCATCCACCAGGCTTGTCTGGTTGGATGGCAGTGGCCAGGAGCAGATTGGCAGCAACAGCAGCATGGTTGGCATCATTTCTGGCTGGGGAGATCCAAGCACCACTGCTGCCAATGTGATCCCCAGCTGCTGCTGCTATCCAGCAGTCAGCCAGGTGAGAAGCTTTGCCTAGACTCTAGCAGGTGAGTGGATGGCAGTGGCTGGGAGCATAGTGGCAGCGGCAACGGTGGCATTGGCAACTCTGATGGCCAAGGACACCCCTGCTATCTGCATATATGTAGTTTCTGCCCAAGATTGCTCTTATGTGCAAAAAAGAGGACAATCTTGGTCAGGACAAAAATTACTGACATCCAGCTTTTCAGACGGTGTGGATAATAAATACTTGGATGTGGATTTTGAAAACAAGGACAGGTTGCTTGCCCTTAATTCTAGTTCTCTGAGTGTCATTTGTGAATCCACACATTTGCGTTTTGTGTTTGCACAGAGCTTGCTTCAGAATCTTCTAGAGGTCAGCAACCTCTCCTGCCATCCCCACTGCATGTGCCAAGGTGTTCCCTAATGGTCTCCCTTCAGTGCCAATGCCATCCCCACTGCATGTGCCAAGGTGTTCTCCCATCAGTGCCAATGATCTGCTAATTAATGGTCTCCCTTCAGTGCCAAAGATCTGCTAATTAAAGTAAGAG